CAGCCCCAGCCCCTCACGCCCCCGGGTCCCCTCATAGCCCCCCGGGCTTCCTCCCTCCCCGCCGTGGTGCCCTCAGGCCCCCTCCCCGGACACGACGCGCCTCAGGCCCGGCTCCAACCTGACCTCGGCCCAGCCCGCGAGGGAAGGCGGCGCAGCGCTGATGACGTCATACCTGCGCGCCACTCTTCCGCCTTGCGCCTCATATGCCCACGACGGCGCTCCCACCCTGACTCGGCGCGGCGCCGGGAACGTCATCGTTCCGCGACGGCCGCGTGTCAGCCATCTTAGCTGAGGGCAGAACGGAAGCTGGTGAAGCCACTTCCGGGTGTGCCTGCCCTTGCCTTGGGGGGTCTTCCTAGTTGATGGGCATTTTTGACAGGTGGCTTTTTCAGCAGCTCCATCTGACCATCATTCCTTCGAGGCTTTTAATCCTTCCCTGGGGGAAAACTGTGGAGCCAGCAGCTTTCAGTTCTGTAGAGGAGCCTTTGCCAGACCCTCTTTGGTGTAGCAGGAGGCAGTGATGTCACGGGGATCTATGAAGCGCAGCGCTGTATAAGACGCTGTTTTTGATCCTTTGCAAAACCCTCTTTTTGCTGCTACATTTCTTGCCTCGTGTTCTTATCCCAATGCCATTTGGGGTAGGTTGCTACGCCTCACTGCAGTGCCCGGGGGAGGGTTGCTAGCCGCAGTATTTGTCGGTGCTGGGAGCGGAGCAGAACCAGACGCAGTGCTCCACCTGCGGCCTGACCAGTGTCGCATAGAGGGGGAGGATCACCTCCTTGGCCCTGCTCGAGATGCATCTGTGGATGCACGACAAGGTGCGGTTGGCCTTCCTGACCGCGTCCCCACACTGCCGGCCCTTGTTCATTTTGGCATCAATAATGACTCCCAGATCCTTTTCTGCCTCTGCGCTGACAAGAGGGGAGTTCCCCAGCCTGTAGGTGTGCTGCTGGCTCTTCCTCCCCAGGTGCAGCACCTTGCACTTGTCAGTGTTGAACCCCATCCTGTTCTCATCCGCCCACCCCTGGAACCTGTCCAGGTCCAATTGCAGCCTGTTCCTCCCTTGCGGCGTGCCCACTTCCCCCCACATCTTAGTGTCATCAGCCAATTTGAACAGGGTGCTTTTCACCCCCTCGTCCAAGTTGCCGATGAAGATGTTGAACAGTGCAGGCCGGAGGACCGAGCCCTGGGGGCCCCCACTGCCCACATCCCTCCAGGTCGAAAATGACCCGTCCACCACCGCTCTCTGGGTGCGGCCTCCAGCCAGTTAGCGACCCATCTCACTGTGTAGGTGTCGACGCCATAGTTACCTGTTTTTTTAACGAGGATGGGGTGAGAGACAGTGTCGAAGGCCTTCCTAAAGTGCAGAAAGACTACGTCCACCGCGACACCTGCATCTAAGGATTTTGTGCCCTGGTTGTAGAAGGCCACCAGGTTGGTCTGACAGCACCTGCCTCGAATGAACCCGTGCTGGTTGCCCCTAAGCATAACCTCCCCGGCCGGCCCCTCACGGACATGCGCCAGGATAACTCTCTCAAAAAGCTTACCCAGGATCGACGTAAGACTAATGGGCCTATAGTTTCCTGGGTCTTCCTTCCTCCCTTTTTTGAAAATGGGAACTACATTGGCCCTTTTCCCGTCCTCTGGCACCACAACAGAGCACCACAAGTGCTCTTAAAGCTGTGCCAGGGGTCCCGCAATGACCTCTGCTAATTCCCTCAAATAATGAATCTGTCATTTGACAGGTGGCATAGACAGATCTCTCAGCCAGCATCCTCATGGGTGCAGTGAGATATTCCCAGGACTCCTCTTCTATAGTAACTCATCCATCCTGTAAAAAAGGCCCACAAAATACTAGGCCCCTTATTATTAAATGACACAATATTAATCATGAGCTTAGCAACACTTTAGCTTTGTCCCCATTTAATTAGGATGACATCATTAAAGATGGATGGGTCCGATAAGCCATTTGATGAAGCATGCTGCTCTTATGCTACCACCTTTCTACCTGGGTGACTGGTTTTGTACTAGTTAGGCTGAACCTCTTGGTGCGCTGTTGATGGTGATGGTAGCGTAGCATCTACAGAGCCACCGTTCGTGGATTTTAGAAACACCTGCTTGGTTAGCGACGGCGCCTGTGCTAGACATGTGCCTTGCTAACAGCATTATTAGCAATCTTACATTATTATTATAGGAATATTATATGCTGATAGTATAATGCACTTTCACCGAAGGAGTTGTTCATGTAGGGACTGCTGTCAGGATGTGGATACTCCCATTGCCGTCCTTAGTGGATGGTGCTCAGTCAGTTGAAACAAACCTTAAAACGTCTAATGATATTGGTCATTTTTTCTTTGCAGTGGTGGCTGTGTTGTTTAACAGACGTGGGCACTAGTGGGACCTTATCTGGTGCAAACCGTTAAGTAAATCAACAGTTCAATTACCATGTGTCACTGAAGATCTGTCATTACGCCCTAACCTATTAGCTGCATTCATGTGTACAAAATCCTGTGAAGGAGGGCTAGCAAGAAGGGCTTTAAACTCATGCTGGTTCAGGATCAGGGCTTGTGATGAAGGTAACTGTGCGTTTTAGAAAGCATTGCGCTGGGGGACCTCCACACGGGACAAGCTCTGATCTGGTAAAGATGCTGATGCAAACTGAAATGGCTCTCAGATGCTCAAAGAGGCTACCCAATGGCTCTGAAATTGCCTCTGCCTACGATGCACCCTATCCGGCCCTGTCAACTTGAAAACATCTAGCTTCTCTAAGTAATCCCTACCCTGTTCTTCCACTGCTCTAGACTGTTTGTCTCCTTTCCTATTTGTGCTGCCCATTGTGTTCGTCATCTGGTAGCTGCCCCTCTTTGTGAAGACAAGTAAAAGAGGCGCTAAAATGCTTTAGCCTTCTCTGCAGCATCCATAACTAGATCGCCGTCTGCATTCATTAAGGGACCTATACTTTTTTGGTTTCCCTCTGACATTCTCGTAGTGTCCCTTTTTTCTTGCCTGTTCTATACCTTGCCAGGGGCTTCTCAAATCATACCTTGGCCTTTCTAAATTTTCCCCCACACACCCATATGCTGCTCTTACTCTCTCCCGTAGTACTAAGACCAAAGTTTCCATTTTCGGTAGGATTCCTTTTTAAGTTTCAACTCATCGAGGAGATCGCTGTCTAGCCAGGCCAGTCTCCTGTTGCACCCATTTTTCTGCTGCATTGGGATAGCTTGTTTCTCTGCCTTTAAAAGGGCCTCCTTAAAGTACAGCCAGCTCTCCTGGAGTCCTTTTCCCCTCAGACTTGTCTCCCAAGGGATCCTGCCCATAGTTCCTTGAGCTTGCTAAAGTTCACTTTTTTGGAAGTCCACTGTCTTTATTTGGCTGCTCTCCTTCCCTCCTCTCCTTTGGATCTTGAGGTCTGTCATTGCCGAATCACCGTCACCAAGTTATCTTCCACTTGTACACTCTCAATCACCTCCTCTCTGTGAGCAGTAAGTCAAGAAGAGCTTCTCCCCTAGTTGACCTGTCTACCATTTGAATCAAAAAGTTATCGCCAACTCAGCCTAAAAATTTGCTGGACTGTTTGTGGACCGCTGTGTTTCCCTCCCAGCAGATGACACAATAATTAAAGTGCCCCATGAGAACCAAGGCCTGGGAGTTGAAAGCTTTTATTACTTGTTTACAGAAGGCCTTGTCCACCTTCTCCTCCTAGTTTGGTGCCCCAGAGTAGATGCCCACCGTGACCTTCCCATGCTGTTCTCCCCTCTGACCTTTATTCAGAGGCTTCCAGTAGGCCTACCTTCCACTTTGTATTGCACCTCTGAACACGTGGACATCTTCTTTATGGGGCCACTTATCCGCCTTTCCCCCCTGCTTGTCCTTCCTAAATAAGCTATATCCATCCATGGCAGCAGTCCGGTCACATGAATTATCCCACCACAACTCCATAATCCTGGTTACATCATAACTCCACAGTTGTACTAGGAGCTCCAGTTCTTCCCATCTATTCTGTATTCTTCTCACATCAGTATATAAACATTGCAGGTATCTAACTGTCCTATTTTCTCCCTGAGAACATTGTTAAGGCTTTTGCTACTGCCTTCCCTTATTCATTTTTTTTTATCCAGGTCTCCTGGTTCTGGGCTTTTGTCTCTATCCTCCGGTGAACCTAGTTTAAAGCTCATGAAGGAGAAAGCTGCTTTACAGGAACAAAAGATGTGTTTAAAATACAGGCTATTACTGCAACGGCAACCTTTTTAGTTGGAGCTAGAAACTGTGCAGATATAATGAACAGGAAAGGGATGAGCTCCTAAATGAGGTGGATGATTTGCAAAGCCAGTTAGCCCCATTGTTGGAATACAAAGCTCCCTACGTGACAGCCACTTTTCTACATAAACCCTACTGTACCTCCAGGATTTGAGGCCAACGAAGCCCATCTGTGGGTGAATTTGCAGGCAGTCAATAAAGAAACAGTACATAAAAACATAAGAACTGCCATTTACTGGGACCATAGGTCCATCTTGCCCAGTCTCCTGTGTCACACCCTGGCAGAGAGCATATGGTGGAAGGGAGAGTGACCTGGGTCTGACCAGGGTTGTTTTCCACCGTTCCTCTCTCTCTTGCAGCCTCCAGCATTTAAGGTCTAGGAAGTTCTGATTCCAAGGCCGTGCCTCACACTCCCATGCTCAGTAGTGACCAATACCCCTTTCCTCCAAATACATGTCCAATCCCTTTTTGAATATGGCTAAATTGTCCATTTCCAACACATCTGCTGCCAACAAGTCCCACATTTGAATGACACGCTGGGCGAAAACGAACTTCCTTGTGGTAGTTTTAAGGTTATTACCTACTAAGTTCATTTTGTGACCCTTAGTTCTTAGAATCCTAGAAAATGAGGGTTGAAGGGACCTCTGGAGGTCACATCTAATCCGACCCCCTGCTCCAAGCAGGGCCAGCCCCAACTACGTCATCCCAGCCAAGGCTTTGTGTAGTCAGGTCTTAAACACCTCCAAGGATGGAGAGTCCACCACCTCTCTGGGTAACCTGTTCCAGTGCTTTACTAACCTCCTAGTGAGAAAGTTTTCCCTAATATCCAACCTCCCTTGCTGCAACTTGAGCCCATTGCTCCTTGTCCTGTCATCTGCCACCACCGGGAACAGCCCAGCTCCATCCTCTTCTGCACTATGCTGCAGGGAGGT